CTTGCGCCTTGTGATCATCAGCGCTTTTGTACTCAGCTGGGTCTTGTGCCTGCCTTGCCTCACTTGCTCACCTCTTGACCTTGCTTGTACTGTTACATATATGTATATACACCTGCTCTTGCATGTCTAGCCTTTTATATATATATGTACTCCTGCATGTGAACTGGCCTTGTGGCCTTGACCTTGTGCTCGGAATGTGTGGTGACTTTGTGATCCACCCTGAGCTTGCTTTGCTTTGCTTTGCTTGATTGGTCTTGTGACCCCTTGTACTCCCCCACTTTGCCTATGGGGGGGTGTCAGAACATTATAGCTTATGCTTTTGTGTAGGCTGTAGTGGGGTAGCCCATATAGGGTACAACCCAATCAGGGTTAGTACTTGTACCCAACTCTTTCATAGTGCATTCATTCTCGTTTTAGTTTTCTCACGGCATGGGTTGGTAATGCGTCAAATGGGCAGTGAGCACAATACGTTTCCTAAGGCAGAGAAGGCAGCTTGCTCTTTCTACCCCAAATTTTAAACGACCATAGTCCTCGGCCGATATGTCATCGGGGTAGTTTATATGGCCATGTCGGGGAGAAACCGACTCACATAGTTAACAAACCCTAAAATAATTTGCAGCTCTGTGATGTTCATTCGCGGATGCCATGCCTTCGCAATAACCACTTTCATGTCAATTTTGACTCTAGTCTCGAAAATAACATGACCTAAAAACTCCAAGCGACTCTAAAAAACTCATACTTGGAACCATTCGTCATCAAGCGATGCTCGTCTAAAATTTTAACTCTACTTCTAAGTTGACTAATTGCTACTCCTTTTCACGGCTGTAAATGAAGATGCTGTCTAGGTAAAAAAGCACGCACTTACAGTGAAAGGAATGTTTTGTTCATGGTCATTCGAAAAGTGGTAGGTGAGTTTGTCGGTTTGAAAGGCATCACTGTGTATTTGAATCATTTGTACCTTGTTCGAAACCTGTCTTGGCGCAATCTGCCGTTCGACGGGAATCTGGTGGTAACCTCCTCGTAGGTCAGATTTCCAATAGATGCAGGGGGTGTGTAACTAGTCGATCAATTTGTTGGCTCGGGGGATGGGATATGGCGATTTAATTTATAACCATGTTTAGTGCGCGGTAGTCAATGTGTCAGAGTATTATAGCTGATGCATGTTTGTAGGCTATAGCCGCTCAGCGTGACTACGAGCTTCACTCTCTCGACTTCAGCACTGCGTTCTTGCAGGGTAGCCTGCACGAGGAGATCTGGCTTCGCCGTCCACCTGGCTTCACTGGGACTTTCCCTCCTGGCACCCAGTGGAGCCTCCGACGGCCAGTCTACGGTCTCCGCCAGGCACCGCGTGAGTGGCACGACACACTGAGGACTACGCTTGCGGCTCTTGGGTTTGCTCCTTCTACTGCTGACCCGTCGCTGTTTCTTCGCACCGACACTTCCCTGCCGCCGTTCTACATCCTCGTGTACGTCGACGACTTGGTCTTTGCCACAGCGGACACTACTGGACTCGCCTACGTGAAGTCCGAGCTGCTGAAGAGACACACGTGCACAGACCTGGGTGAACTGCGCAGCTACCTTGGCTTGCAGATCACTCGGGACAGAGCACGCCGCACCATTACCTTGACTCAGTCACACATGGTGCAGCAGGTCCTTCAGCGCTTCGGCTTCACGTACTCCTCGCCTCAGGCCACTCCTCTGCCTACTCGCCACTCACTCTCAGCTCTGCCTTCGGATGAGTCCGTAGAGTCGAGTGGTCCGTATGCAGAGCTTATTGGCTGCCTCATGTACCTGATGACCTGCACACGACCTGACCTTGCATACCCTCTGAGTATTCTTGCATGCTATGTTGCTCCTGGGAGACACAGACCGGAGCACATGGCTGCAGCGAAGAGGGTATTGCGCTACCTGTGCAGTACGTCGGGCATGGGGCTAGTGCTTGGAGGGCGGAGTCCAGTGTTCCTTACCGGCCACGCGGACGCTTCTTGGGCTGACGACCAGGCTACGCAGCGGTCGTCACAGGGTTACACCTTCAGCCTTGGTTCCGGCTCTGTCTCGTGGCGGTCTACTCGCTCGTCTTCGGTTCTCGGCTCCAGTTGTGAGGCTGAGATCTACGCCGGGGCCATGGCTGCACAGGAGCTTCGCTGGCTCACCTACCTGCTGACTGACCTTGGAGAGCCGCCTCGTTCTCCTCCAGTGCTGTACGTAGACAACAAGGCCATGCTGGCCTTGTGTCGAGAGCAGCGCTTGGAGCACAGAACGAAGCACATTGCTCTCCGCTACTTCCTTGCTCGTGAGCTGCAGCAGCGTGGTCACTTGCGACTTGCGTACGTGGCCTCTGAGGCCAACACTGCTGATGTGTTCACCAAGGCACTCGCGCCTTGTGACCATCAGCGCTTTTGCACCCAGCTGGGTCTTGTGCCTGTCTTGCCTCACTTGCTCTCCTCTTGACTTCACTTGTACTGTGACATATATATATACCTGCTCTTGCTTGTCTAGTTTTATATATATGTCTGTACTCCTGCATGTGAACTGGCCTCTGGCCCTGCTCTTGTGCTCGGACTGTGTGGTGACTTTGTGATCCACCCTGAGCTTGCTTTGCTTTGCTTGACTGGTCTTGTGACCCCTTGTTCTCCCCCACTTTGCCTATGGGGGTGTGTCAGAGTATTATAGCTGATGCATGTTTGTAGGCTATAGTGGGGTAGCACATATGGGGTACAGCTTTCTAGGGTTGTATTTGTACCCAACTCTGACTTAGTCATTCTCATTCCTGTTCACTTGTTTCACACAATGCACATGCAAAAATCCCCGTCCTTCTTTGGTGCTAATTGTATTGGTGTGGCGAACGGTGATGATCTCAGTCGAAAGGATATTTTTTTTCTCGAGCAAGTAATCTAACTGCTTCCTGAGTTCCTCCAGCTTTGGCTGTGTCTGTAGGAACTGGTGCTATAAGGTTGTTTGCACCTCCGGTTCTAACACTATGTTATGATCATGCAGTCATTGAGGTGGCAGTCCCTCGGGTAGATCCTGTAAGAAAATCAGTGGGCATCGTTGCATTATGTTTCAAAGTTTGGGCAGTACAACTGCTAGTAATTTCTAAATATCGCTCGACTCCTCTGCTTCTACTACCTCCAGGATGTCGATAACGTACACGTCAATTCTTGATGTGACAACCCATTTTATCGTTATGGCGTTGATAAGGACCGTTGAAGGCGCAGGCGGCTGCTAGCAAGATAGCGAGACCCAATTACTGTCAAGATACTAGCACAAATGGTAGTTAGGTTTAGGGCCTAGGCTTAGTAGCCTAGGCCAAGGGGGGAGTCGAGAGAGTTGTGACAAGGAGAAGTTCAGAATAGGAATGATGCAATATGAGAAACAAGTACAAGTTATAGTTAAGGAAGGGTGCACCACCAAGTAAGAACAAATGTATGACTACACTACAGCTAGAACTACATGCAGTTATATATAATGATGACAATTACACCCATTTCTTACAGTGCGGCTACATGTTGTCCAGTCAATATGCGGGTTGTAGCGTTGCATCCAATCACACCACAGTAAAATATCGGTATGTCTAATGTTGTTGCCAGCTTTTCATGTAAGTCCAAATCTACTCCCGCAGCAAATCTTAACCCTGTCCAATTGTTTCCGTATAGCTGGTGCTGTGTCGTCGACTAACCGTGCGTCGATCTCAAGTAAGCATCGGCACAATTTCAGTTGCAGCTTCATTGAAGTTGCTAGACTGTGACTAGCCCTTCCGTTAATGAAAGCCTTCACTACCGGCCCCTGTATTTTTCAATATCAGTACTAGGCAATCCGCTGCTATACCCTCCATATTCAGCCGAGCCCGATCATTTACGTGAATAGGAACTGTCACTCAATGAGGTTCAGTGGGTTCGGGCAAGCAGTGAGTCTTGTCAGTTGTGAGCCCGTTCTTTACTGACTATTGGCGTTTTCCTGCCTCATAGACTCCTTTCCCTGCTCTGCTCCCCAACGTTTCTACTCCTCGGGACACTCATTCTCGCAATGGCCCGACCTATAACACGCAAAGCAACGCCCTCGAAATGGCGTGACAACTGCGTTTGCCGCAACGGCGTGTACCGTGGCATGCTCAGTCATTCCCTGAGTACGTTGTTTGTGTGCGTTTCTCGTGCATGTAGCTAACCTGTTCACACAACCCGTGAAATCTGCTAGCGTAGTCTTGAACCAACCCAAATTGTCGCCAAGTGCGCAGCTATTGACATGCAGAAATCGAAGTCGCGATTGGCTGGAAATGCGTCTATAGCCCTGTGCACCACGCATCCCACATGCGGTATTAAGCGACTTCGTAGAATGATAAACTCCATGAATCAGCTGGCCTGGAAGGCCCTTCCCCTTGCAGTAGTGGCTTGTAGTCGCTTGGCGAGGTAACAATAACTCGCCATCAGTCCATGGCGGGCCCTCAAAGCAGAGATATGGCGTATCGGATTTTCGCAGCGTCCGACGTATAGTTTGAATACCCACGATTTGACCGTCAGACCTCCCCGTTGACTTGGGTCAAAACAGGGCGGGCGTTGCAGTTTGAAAGGCATCAGCTGCGAGACATCGTTATTGTTGTATTCAGCCGCAATGCTGACGCAACGACAGTTGTCACATGACATATCCACGCCCAAAGCTTCCTTGGTACGCTCCATGCCCCACATTCGTTGTGCACGGTCCGAAAGAAACGTGGCTGTAGATTCGAAGCGTAATGAGTGTATCCGAGAGAGCGAGCAAGGATTGCACTTTTAAAGGAGATCAATACGATGAGCGAAGGCATGAGCAAATTGTTAAATAGCGAAGCAAGATGGTAATGATAACAGATGATCGAAGGGGCGCTCTACAGGCCTAGCGCCGAGGTTGGGAATTGTCGAGGCGTAGAGTCGGATCGCGGATTACAATAGTTCGGTTTCAATGTCTCTCTAGTAGTAACAAACACTAAGGATATTACTACTACTACATCCCTGCAATCACTAGGCCTCCTAGCTCTCCTCCTCCTCGTCCTCCTCGTCCTCGTCCTCGTCGTCCTCGTCGTCCTCGTCGTCCTCGTCGTCATCGCCGTCCTCCTCCTCCTCCTCCTCCTCCTCCTCCTCCTCCTCCTCCTCCTCCTCCTCCTCCTCCTCCTCCTCCTCCTCCTCCTCCTCCTCCCCTTCTTTCTCCTACTGCTCCTGCTGCTCCCACTCATCGAGGCACACGTCATCCTCGTCCGCCTCCACCTCCCCATCCTCCTCCAACTTGTACCCCTCGGGGAGGGGAGGGGGGGGGAATGTTCCCCTCCACCCCCCCCTTCTTCCTTCCCACCACATTAGGCCCTGCGTTAGCCGCAACCTTGTGGAATTTGTGCACAACATTCTATTTGTGCGTAACGTACACAAGGTCGCACACCTTCTCCAACCTGAGCCGGTTCCTGCGCGCCGTGTGCACGCCATCCCAAGTACACGAGTTCACGCCATCCCAAATACACCAGTTCCGCTCGCACGGGGAAGCGGAAATGGGCTGGGACAGCGCTCGCTGCGCAAGACGGGCCAGGTCGCCAGTCCCTTCTTGCCGCGGGCCTTCTTCCAGTATTTGTCGACGAAGGCCTTCTGACGCTCCAGCCAGTCCTGCATGACCTTGGTACACTCCACTTCCGCCAGAAAGATCCCCTCCTCCTGGTTGGCCGGGTTCAAGATCCGGCCTGCCACATGGAGGGGGCATGCCAGGCTCTCGTCCCAATGCCTCCTCAAATGCTCCCGCAACTTCTCCTTATCCACCCTGCTCAGCTTGCACTCCTTCCCATCCAAGCGTATCCAACTCCTCCGTCTGCTGCAGCATGATGTCGTAAATTTGGCCCATCAGCCCCTTCTTCACTGAATCCGTCCTCCGCATGACATTGTAGAACACCTCCATCACATGCACAAAGAAGTCCACCTGCTTCCACCACGCAGAGTCCATCACCCACCCTTCGAAGTCCTCCCCTGTCAGGGTGTTCCCCCCCTTCTCCACCCAGTCCTTTTGCGTTATCATCGCCGTGAGCTGGGGGCGAATGGCGCGCAGGCGAGTCACTGCGATGAACTGCGTCCCAAAGCGCGTGCCAACCGGGCGCAACACCTACAGCAATTTCTCCTCGCCGTGCAGCTCCGGGCTCCGCATGAAGGAGGGCGTCTACTATGCGAAAACAACTAGTTCATCGGGAGCTAGACTACGGGCTAGGCACGGATGCTCGTGTGATCTCTACGTTAGTTCCTTAGTCGTTTACTTGTGCTTGCACTGCTTGCTGGTTCATAGGGAAATTTGGCAAGAGTTTCACTAGCAAAAGTTCACAACAATGATGATAGCAACAACATTGGCAACACAGACTACATCAGACCCAGCAAGGCTGCTGGTCGACTGCCAGCGCAGCACGGTCGACCGCGTAGCACGACTTGGTCGACCGCGCTCCAGTAGAGCAGAGTCGCGGCTTGCCAACGTTGCAAGTCCGCGGTGTGCCAACGCTGCAGCAAGTCGGCTGCACAGCGTTGCACCCGGCCTGACAATGGTGCACCAGCCTCGCTGGTGCGTGCAGCTGGTTGGCGCCCAACGCCCCGTCACATGCCCAACGCAGACACTCCACCCGTGACGGCGCCCACCAGCCACGTCGAGGTCGTCCTCGCAGACACCCCCGGCGACGTTCGCACACGTCGCCTGGGTATCCTGGTCGACCGGGTATCCTGGTCGATCGGGTATCCCGCGGTCCCGGTGGCCCCCGGTCGTCCATCCGCGGCCACCGCGGTCCCCGCGGTCCCGTGGTTGTCTCCCGCGGCCTCACGCGGCCCCCGCGGTCCCGTGGTTGCCCCATAGGCCTCCCGCGGCCCCGTGGTCTCCCGCGGCCTCCCACGGCCCCCCGCGGCCCCGCGGTCTCCTGCGGCCTCCCGCGGCCCTGCGGCCTTTCGCGGCCCCGCGGCCTTTCACGGCCCCGCGGCCTCCCGCGGTCTCCCGCGGCCCCGCGGTCCCCCGCGGCCTCCCGCTGCCTCCCGCGGCCCCGCGGTCTCCCGCAGCCTCCCGCGGCCTCCCGCGGCCCCGCGGTCTCCCGCGGCCGTCGAGGTCAGCTCCGCCCAAGCAAGGACGGGGCCAAACACTACTCCCGTTGACATACTGGAGCCCGCGTAGGAACCCGATCATATTGTCCGATTGACCCACAATCAACTGCGCCCAGTCCATCTTTCCGATGTCCTCCAACAGCATGTCCAGTACGCGCAGGAAATGAGTTTGAGATGCGGCCAATCCTTCAGCAGCAGCTTGCCGGCAACTTTGTAGTTGCTGCCGCCATCCCAGCACAGCGCAACCACGTGCTCTGCCCCGATACGCTCAATGATCAGCCTCAGGACCCCTGCGATGAACATGCCACTCTTCATCGCAGCCTTGCTGTCGACCGCCTCTAGGAAGACAGCTCAGTGTCGTTGATGCAAATGATGTTCATCTGCGCGCAACCGCTCTTGTCCTGCATCATGTCGCTGGCGATCGTCACGTCCGTCTCCCTCCACGACTTTGTAACGGGCGACAACGCCTTCTCAATCCGCTGCTTGCAGTCCAGTAGGCCGGCGCCTCCGACATAGTGCCGCTTGTGGGGGACATAGCCCTGGCCGGCGGCGGCGACGACTCGCAGCATGTTGAGGAAGAGCGGGTTCTCGCACTGAGACTCCGATATGCGCGTCCCCGCGAGGTAGAGGGCAACCAATTCGTCGGCCGCACGCTTTGCCGCGACCCCTCCCTCGCCGTAGAAGTCCTCCATGCGCCCGCGCTTCGCCTTCCCTCCCGCCGTGCTCTTGCCGCTCACCGCATCGAGCGCCGCATCCGTCGCCTTCCCCTTTTGGTTGCGCGCCCAAACCTTCCGTTCAAACATCTCCCGAATCTCCTTCGAAACGTCCTTCAGCACATCCGCGCAAAGAGCTCCTGCCTCGCTCCGCCCGCCGTGGGGATCGTTCCACTCGGCGAGGTGCTGAGGGCACCGGCTACTACTCTACGAAAACTTCTTGTGGCACCAAAGGCACTCCACTTGCTCGCCATTCTTCTTTGAATCCATAAAAATGTAGTAGTGCTTGTAGATTGGGTGTTTGGGAAATTTAGACTTCTTATTCTCTTCCATATCCTTGGAAACACGAGCGGAAGAACCCTCGCCGACGGCATCATCGTTCGCGGAGGCGGAACTTGACGTATGAGCGACAGGGACATAGTTTTGCGAAGGAACTAGCAAAACCCTAAAGTGTTTTTGAAAAAGAATTGGAAGAAATGAAAGATGGGAGCACGAATGGGAGATTTGTGCTCCCCAACCTCTTGGTGGAAAGCCTTAGAAGTTGGGTTTTCTAGATACTAAGCGGTGCAATGAAGTTTGTGTTCAATTTTGGTTGGGTGGGGACTCAAATTTGATTGGGTGGTCGAAATGGGTGGGAGGGGGTTTTAATGTCGCAAAATTGAATTTCGCGTCGAAATCGTGAAATTCAATTTCGCGTGCGCGATTATTTTTTTCCGGCTGCCCGAAAAAATTTGCCCAAAGCGTCCAGCGTCTAAAGGTGCGTCTTGCGTCTCGCGCTTAGACGCTAGACGCATGACGGTCCCTGCTGTGAAGAAATGAGGAATGAATGAACTATCAAGCAGGTGGGTACAAGTAGGAAAACCAAGAAATGTTGTACCTCATATAGTCTACCCCACTACACCCTACACAGACTATAGCATATAAGTTTGACACACCCCCATAGGCAAAGTGGGGGAGAAAAAGGGGTCACAAGACCAGTCAAGCAAAGCAAAGCAAGCCCAGGGTGGATCACAAAGTCACCACACAATCCGAGCACAAGAGCAAGGCCAAAAGGCCAGTTCACATGCAAGATCATATATAAAGGTAAACAAGCAAGTGCGAGTATAGAAAGATCACAGTACAAGCAAGGTCAAGAAGTGAGCAAGTGAGGCCAAGTAGGCACAAGACCTAGCATAGTACAGAAGCGCTGATGATCACCAGGCGGAAGTGCCTTGGTAAAGATATCAGCAATGTTGGCCTCAGAGGCCACGTAAGCAAGGCGCAGCTGACCACCCTGCTGCAGCTCACGAGCAAGAAAGTAGTAGAGAGAAACGTGCTTCGTTCTGTGCTCCAGTCTGTGCTCCCGACACAAGGCCAGCATGGCCTTGTTGTCTATGTACAGAACTGGAGGAGAACGAGGCGGCTCTCCTAGGTCAGTCAGCAGGTAGGTGAGCCAGCGTAGCTCCTATGCAGCCATGGCCCCCGCGTAGATCTCAGCCTCACAACTGAAGCCGAGAACAGAAGACAAGCTGGTAGACCGCCACGAAACAGAGCCGGAGCCAAGGCTGAAGGTGTAACCCTGTGACAACCGCTGCGTAGCCTGGTCGTCAGCCCAAGAAGCGTCTGCGTGACATGCGAGGACCACTCGACGTCGCCCTCCAAGCACTAGCCCCATGCCCGACGTACTGCACAAGTAGCGCAACACCCTCTTTGCTGCAGCCATGTGCTCTGGTCGCTGTCTCCCAGGAGCAACATAGCGTGCCAAGATGCTAAGAGGGTATGCAAGGTCAGGTCGTGTGCAGGTCATCAGGTACATGAGGCAGCCAACAAGCTCTGGGTACGGGCCACTCGGCTCTACGGACTCATCCGAAGGCAGAGCTGAGAGCGAGTGGCGAGTAGACAGAGGAGTGGCCTGAGGCGAGGAGTACATGAAGTCCAAGCGCTGAAGGACCTGCTGCACCATGTGTGACTGAGTCAGGGTAATGGTGCGCTGTGCTCTGTCCCGGGTGATCTGCAAGCCAAGGTAGCTGCGTAGTTTACCCAGGTCTGTGCACGTGTGTCTCTTCTGCAGCTCGGACTTCACGTGGGCGAGTCTAGCAGTGTCAGCTGTGGCAAAGACCAAGTCGTCGACGTACACGAGGATGTAGAACGGCGGCAAAGAGGTTTCGGTGCGCAGAAACAGCAACGGGTCGGCAGTAGAAGGAGCAAACCCAAGAGCCGCAAGTGTAGTCCTTAGTGTGTCGTGCCACTCACGGGGCGCCAGGCGGAGACCGTAGACTGGTCGCCGGAGGCTCCAGTGCGTACCTGCAGGAAACGACCCAGTGAAGCCAGGTGGGCGGCGCAGCCAGATCTCCTCGTGCAGGCTGCCCTGCAGAAAAGCTGTGCTGAAGTCAAGAGAGTGAAGCTCGTAGTCGCGCTGAGCGGCTATGTGCAACAGCACCCGAAGAGTGGTCATCTTTGGGGTGGGAGAGAAGGTCTGAAAGTAGTCAACTCCCTGCCGCTGACTGAAGCCTCGAGCCACGTAACGCGCCTTGAAGACAGGCAGAGAACCTAGCGGCCGCTTCACCCTGAAAATCCACATGCTACTGACGATGTTCGCCCCAGGTTGGGGAACCTCGTCAACGTAGGTGCCTGTGGACTTCCAGGAAGCCATCTCTGCGTCCATGGCTGACTGCCAGTGAGAGGAGTAGGGACCCTCTATCGTTTCTGCGCAAGAGCGCGGAGTCGGGATGTCTGGTGCATCCGGGTCTCCCTTAGGGGCAATCAGCGTGGACACCAGATGAGGCAAAGCAACAGCAAAACACTAGAACTCCTCCTGCCTGTCCTCAAGGACGTCCGTGCTAAGAGCACACTCACCCCCGACGGACGGAGGACAGACAGACTTTGACTCAGCAACAAGACTAGCAGCGTAGTCTAGACGACAGCAAGCAGCGAAGTCGACAAGCTCAGCAACTAGGGCAGACGCAGCAGTGGACTCAAAGGAAGGGTCAGTTACAACAGTAGCTAGGAGACGCATGACAGAAGGACTGGCAGCACGAAGAGAGTCAGACTCCGGGTCAGCAAGAGTAGGAACAGAGGATTTTGGAGGATACGGCAACGGGACACACAGAGGAGCAGTGGAAGGACGCAGTGCCATCTGGTGTGTGCTTGGGACCCCAGGAGGACGCGGACGCGCAGTACGACCACCAGTGCGAGCAGCACGAACAGGCGACGCAGGACGAGACGCAGGCTTGTCAGAATGTTATTCTCTAGCCTGTAGTGGGGTGCTCTATAGCGAGTACAACCCATCTAGGGTTTGCTATATGTATCCTCATTGCTGCTAGTGAAAACCACTCCTCTCTTCTTCATTCCTCAATCTTAACATGCTATCAGAGCATCTACGGTCCTGGCCTGTGGGCCCTCTCAACTGCTTCCGCTGCTACTCGGTGTTCGACACGCCCCGTGGCGTGCCCCTCGCGCTACTCTTAGCGGCACCGTTGCCGCCCTTTCTTGCCTCTCGCGGCCCCTTCGCGGCCCCGTTGCCGCCCTTCCAGGCCCCTCGCGGCCCCTTCGCGGCCTCGTCGCCGCCCCTTTTGCGGCCCATCGCCGCCCTTCCACGGCCTCGCCGCCCGCCCTTGCAGCGGCCCCGTCGCCGCCCTTCCGCGGCCCCGACGCCGCCCTTTCCGCGGACCCGTCGCCGCCCTTCCGCGGCCCCGACGCTGCCCTTCCGCGGCCCCGTCGCCGCCCTTCCGCGGCCCTGACGCCGCCCTTCCGCGGCCCCGTCGCCGCCCTCCAGCGGCCTCGTCGCCGCTCGTCCGCGGCCCCGTCGCCGCCCTTTAAGCGGCCCCTTCGCCGCCCCTTTCGCGGCCCGTTGCCGCCCTTCTAGGCCCCTCGCGGCCCCTTTACGGCCCTGTCGCCACCCCTATCGTCCCCGTCGACGCCGCCAGTGGCCCCGTCACCGACCCGAGCGGCCTCGTTGACGCTCCTATCGGCCCCGTTGCCGCCGCCAGCGGCCCCGTCGTCGCCGCCAGCAGCCCCGTCGCCGCCTCCAGCGGCCCCGTCGCCGCCACTTGCGGCCCCGGCCCCGCCCCGGCCATGCCCCGTTGCTAGCCGCGGCGCACCAGGAGCACGTGCAATGCCCCCCCCCCCCTTTTCCCCGTCGCCTGTCGAGGCGACCTGAGGGGCGACCTGGGGGAGGGGGGCGAGCGTCGCCCCTTCTGCCGCCTGCTTTGGCGCCCAGGGAGGCCGCGCGTCACCCCTCCCCCCCCCCCCCCCCTTCTCCCCCCCCCCCCCCCCCCGTAACCTCCCTACCCGCCATCCCGCCCAACCCTGTGTTAGGGTTTGGGGGTGGCGAGTGGGGGGTGGCGGGTGTGTGGTCTCCCCTGCTCCTCCTCCTCCTTCGTCTCCCACTGCTGCAGCTGTCACTGAGGGGGGTGGATGTGTGGGAGCCTGGGGTTTAAGGTTTAAGGGGGGTGCTGTGGGAGTGGAGCTAGGGTTTGAGGGAGGTGGATGTGTGTGAGCCTGCGGTTTGGGGTGTAAGAGGGGTGCTATGGGAGTGGAGCTAGGGTTTGAGTAGGGGGTGTGTGTCGAGAGGTGTGGGGCAGCTGGAGGAGGTTGGTTGAACGGAGGTTGTCGTCGTGTCGCCACCAGCACCAGTAGTCCGGGGCATTGCTACGGTAGCCCAGTCGTAGCCAACTGTGCCAGTCGCCCGTGGGTCCGTTGCTCGTCTGCCGCTAGTCTTAGCCGCGGAGCCAGTTACTCCAGTAGTCCGGAGCTTTGTTCCGGTAGCCGCTGTGCCAGTGTGACTCCTGTTGCCCGTGTGTCTGCAGCTTCAGCCGTAGCCTCTTATCTCCTCTCTTCTTACAGTCTCGCCTCCTCCTCCTCACTTGCCCTTTGTGAATGACTCTAGCTTTGCTCGCTATTGTGAACTCCTGCTCTATGCCTGCTTGCTCATTGTGCTGATTACACCCCACTTTGGCTATGGGGGTGTGTCAGAATGTTATTCTCTAGCCTCTAGTGGGGTGCTCTATAGCGAGTACAACCCATCTAGGGTTTGCTATATGTATCCTCATTGCTGCTAGTGAAAACCACTCCTCTCTTCTTCATTCCTCAATCTTAACAAGGCTCACGAC